TTTTTGTAGAATATTACAATTTACCCTCTCTTAGAGTCAAATTTTCATAACAAATTAGGAGAAATTAGAGGGGAATTTGTATGAAAATAAAAACCTTTATAAGGGGTAATTTTGTTATGAAAATATAAACTCGTCGGGGGCGGGATGTAATTTCTCAAACTTTAGGGGGAAATCTGTATTTTTACTAAACCTCAAGGGATTGTTTTGTAATTTGCCCAAAAATATATTATTAATTTTTTTATATGTCGTGCTTAGCACGGGTTACCATTGGTTTCCAATGTAAATATAGCCTTATGGAGGGGAAACATAATTTCTAATACCTTATAGGGAGGGGGTTGTATTAAAGATAAACCTAAAGGGTGTGGATGTAAGTTACCCTATAAAAATTATAAAAAAAACCAATGAAATAATGTTCATATATTATGGTAGAAAATTTATCTTGTTAAATTTATTTAACGAAAGTAGATAATTGATATAAACGAAGGGTTCAAATTGGTTTAAAGTTTAAAATTTAAAGTTAAAATTGATGCAATTGAAATCTGAGATTTTAATTTGAAAAATATGCAAAACTTGGATTTTTTTTCTCTTGTAATTTGCCCCTAAATTCTTTCTATAAATCAAAACCTCTTACATATATATATATATATATATATCATATATATCCCAATACAATCTCAAACCAACCATATGATTTTCATTTGGGTGCATTTGGATCAAAACCACTTTCTACACTGTTTTTGGTTTTAACTTTCTAAATTCAATTTTTTGAAAAATGAGTTTTGTTTTTTATGTTTTTCTTTTCTTTTTTTGTTTTTATTTTTAGTGAATATTTTTAAAATTTTAAACAAATTTTTTTTACTTTTTTTTTATGCAAATGTATTGAATTCTCGTTCTTTTTAATATTTTTGATATTTAACAAATTTTTTAAAGATATTTTTCACAAATATTATACTTTTTTAAGTGTATTTATGTTAGATGTGTCTAAAAATTAAAAAAAAAATTCAATAAAACCAAAAAAATCACAAAAAAAAAAATTATTTTCTCAAAAATAAATCCTAAATCTTGAAACCAAACAAACGTGCATCCTAGCTAAGAACACAAGCATCAGTAAATGTTACGCAGCCTAGAGACAATAGTCAAGCTCCAACAAAAAGAAAGCACACAAAAAACAAGTAAATAAATAAAAACTAGTTTTCTAGAAACCAACTAAAACATAAAAAAAACAGCAAATCAACTTACAAAATCATAAGCCAAAGGATAATGTTAAGAGTGCCAAATTTTCTATTAAACAAATAATTAAATGTCTCACGTGGGGATGAGGTCGGCAATTTTATGACCTTACACCCACATGAGATATTTAGTCATTTATTTGATATAAAATTTAAAACTTATAGCATTTTCCTAAGCCAAAATCTCCCCAAAACCGTAAACAAGCTCTGAAATATAGATGTTGTAGTAATGTAGCATTCTGTGATTTTTTGCTCTTCAACCTTGTGCAAGTTTTACTGAAATTCCTGGAATTGGTAATCTAATCACGAACCAATAGTCTAACTACTTCATTTCCCGATGAACTCGAAAGTTCAAAACAGTCCCATACATCTGTATCACAGCCTATTAAAATCCACTCATTATAATTATCTTCATAATGGACCTCGAAGCTGCAAATCCATTCATTTTCTTCAATTCGACAATTCCAGACAGCAGAGAGAGACGAAATTTTATTTTTTTATCTCTATATTGTGCCTTAAACGTCACAGTCCCTATATCTTGCTTTTCTGTGAGATGAGGCATTATGTGGGAAATAGTAGTCATGGTTTGCATTGGAGCTAGATCAGAACGCCAATGCATTATCCAACTAGATTCAGAGACATATTCCCCCATCAAAAACCCCACTGCTGAAGCAGAGAAATTTTTAGAATCTTTTGAACCTCCGGCTTCACCACTTTCACTGTAGGTAGATGAAATAGAAAATCCATGGCAGGATAATTACCGGGGACAGAATCTTGAAAATTAGGGGTTGTTAAGCTCTTTTCAGTTGAACAATTCTCTGTATTTGACAAGTTTGGACCTTCTATAAATTCTGGCACAATCCCATTTTGGTCTTGAATGTGTCCAACCATTCCATTCCCTACCTCTGTTTGCCCATTAGTTGGTGTCATGTGGGTGGGTGACACATTTTTTTCTCCTTGTGGTTCAAGGAGTATACAGTCTCTTTCGAAAACTGAAAGAGAAAAGAAAAGAAATGGTTAGATAATAGAGAAATAAATGAGAAGAACAGAAAAGCAATGATATTGTTTCTTCTTATTTGGATAGTTTAGTAGAGAAAAGTATGGAAAATAGAGTGTTGTCCTCCTCTATTGTACAAAAAAGATAAGAGAAAAAGAAGTAAAAGATGGTTATAGTATAATGAGGGATGCTCTCTGATGGAGTCAATTCTTTTGGTTGAAATGTCAATTTAGAGAAAGCCCCTGCTTCTACACTCTTTGTAAGTAGATGAATAGACAAGTTCATGGCAGGATAATTACCAGGGACAGAATCTTGAAAAGTAAGAGTTGTTATGCTCTCTTCGTTTGAATGATTCTCCGTATTTGACAAGATTGGGCCGCCTATAAAATCTAGCACAATCCCAACAGTTGGTGTCTTGCAGGTGGGCGACACATTCTTTTCTCCCTCTGGTTCAAAGAGTATACAGTCCATTTCGGAAACTGAAAGAGAAAAGAAAAGAATTGGTTAGATAAGAGAGAAATAAATGAGACGATGAGAAAAACAATGATATTTTATTGTTGATTTGCATAGTTTAGGAGAGAAATGTATCGAAAATAGTGTTATCTTCCTCTATTGGATGAAAAAGACAAACAGGAGAGAAAAGAAACGAAAGATGGTTATAGTCTAACGTGGGATAATGTGTTATACTCTTCGATGGAATCAATCCTTTCAGTTGAAATGTCAATTCAGAGAAAACCCCGACTTCTCCTCTTTCTCTGTGTGTAGATGAAATAGACAAATTCATGGCAGGATAATTACCAGGGATAGAATCCTAAAAAATAAGGGTTGTTATGCTGTCTTTGTTTGAACCATTCCCTGTATTCAACAAGTTTGGGCCTTCATTTTGGTCCTGAAGGTGTCCAACCATTTCATTATCTCTCTCTGTTTGCCCCTCAGTTGGCATCTTGCTGCAGGTGGGTGACACATCCTTTTCTCCCTGTGGTTCAAGGAGTATACAGTCCGTTTTGGAAACTGAGAGATAAAAGAAAATAAGTGATTAGATAAGAGATAAATAAATGAGAAGAGAAAAACAAAGATATCTTTTCTTCTTATTTAGATAGTTTAGGAAAGAAAAGTATGGAAATGAGAATTTTACACCCCCTCTCTTGCATGAAAAAGATAACAGGAGAGAAAATTAATGAAAAACGGTTATAGTTTAACGTAGAATAATTATCTGTTGGTAAATAAAGGATGACCCACTAATTTGTTTTGCAGTTCTTTGAGAACACCAAGTGAACAATGTCACATAGTACTCTAGGACTACCTAATAATTTTTCTATAATGTGAACGGGTAAAAATGAAAACCACTTTTTGTAAAATCACTAACTCCCATCCCCTTTCTCTCCAAATCCCTTAACTTGCGGATAGATTCAAAAAGTGAGTTATGGAGAATTATCATTGCTCCCTATTTCTTTCCTCTTAAACAATTCAAAAAGTTGAAATATGGAGGACAGAGCTTTTTTATTATTTTTATTTTTCATACTGTGATGAGTTTTGATAATTGAATCCAGTGCAACTAGACGTGAACATGGAGGACAGAATGGTTCCTCTACAGTTTGGACAGATTTAATTACAAGCTTTAGCTTAAGGAGAGACCAATTACCTTTTGTTTTCTTCCGAGAAGGCCACCAAGGGATCCCATGTTGCCTGCAGGAGCGCTTTAGTGTGGATACACTAACTGCATGAGCAAGACTTCAAATAAGATGACTGTTTTTATATTGGTTCAAAGCAACACGTTATTTAATGAGAAAATTACCATGTAGTCCTATGTAGGGGATCTATTTCCCTTCTAATCCCAATTTATTTTTAATAGATCAAATAGGTCCACAGTTTTTTAAGTTTTATACCCAGAGGTCCCGTTTTTTATTTTCGTATTTTTAAATGACTGTATTACCCTTTGTTTTGAGATCTATATATACGTGAAAAATCAAATTTTTGCTCCGTTTAAAAAAAGGAAATCAAATCTTCGTCTCCACGATCTCGATTTCTCTTCGTTGTGGCGATCTCATTGTGCTGTGTAGTCGATCTCATTGTGCTGTGAGGTGGATCTGGTTGTGCGATTTGAATCTCTGTGTACAGGCGATATCTGCATACGTTGTCTCTCTCTCTCTCTCTCTCTTTCTCTCTCTCTGGTGATAGATATATGTATGTGTATGTATGTATCTGTCGATACATAGATATACATATGTATGTATATATATATATGTCTGTGTGTGTGTGGTTTGTGTTTGTCGATATATATGTATGTATATATAGATAAGCAAATTTGCGTGATATGTGGTTTGTGTTTGGCGATTTTTGTTTGTTTGATTTTGATTTTGTTGATTTTTGTTTGTCGTATAGTGTAATGTGTTTTGAAGTTGTATTTTGGAATTGTGAATTCTGGTGTTTTGATATTGATATGTCGTAAGTGTATAATTTTGCAGTTTTGGAATTGTAAATTGTGTACTGTTGTTATTGATATGTTGTAACTGCATAATTTTGCAGTTTGGAATCTGTGAACAATTGTTTGTTAGTTTGTGATTTTGTAGTATGGAGCGGTGTTTCATGTTAATGTGCAAATACAGTAATTGTTGTGCTGCTATTAAGATTAGTGACGGATGTAGTTATGATGAAGTTGTTGAGAAAATATGTGCGAAGTTCAAGGAGTTGAGTGTTGGTAACTTTTGTTTGTTTTTCTCTGTTCCTAGATATTCTAATTGTATTGTTGAATGTGATGATGATTTGGGGAATATGCTGTCAATGGTAGGTGGTAGTGGTTGTCATGTTGTTGATGTTATTGTGGGGGATAAGAGAGTTGTGGAGGTTGATGATGGTAATTCTTGTAGGATTGATTCTGTAACTTGTGAGAGTTCTTTTGTGAATGATTGTGATGATGTTGGTGGTTTGTTGCGTAGTTTTTATCCAGAACCAGAGAGAGTTTTGTTGTCTGCTAGTTGGAAGGGGATTATACATAGTGTTGGTCAAGAATTTGAAGGTAGAGTGTCGGGGTTCCGCATTGCATTGGCTAAGTATGCGGTTCAGTGTGGTTTTGCAGTGAATTATTTGAAGAATGATGCAACAAGAGTAACCGCTGAATGTATGATGAAGTCGTCTACGGGTTGTAAATGGTTTGTGCATGGAAGGGTGTTGATGGATTCTGGTGTTTTTTTTATAATGAAGTTGGATAATGTGCATACTTGTGGGGTTGTTGCTCGTAGATCTTGTAGCAAAATGGTTGGTTCTAGACTTGTGTCTGATATTGTGCAAAATGATATTAGTGATAATCCGTTGACTCGTCCTATTGAAGTTAAAAAAAAAATTGAAGAAGCAATATGGTATAGATGTTTCTTATCGGGTTGCATGGTTAGGAGTTGATAAGGCAAGAGGTGGGTTGTTTGGTGATTTTGCAACTTCTTTTGACCAGCTTCGATGGTACCTAGAGACAGCTATGAGAACGAATTGGGAAGTGTGTTTTGAATTAGATGTGGATGAAAGTGGGTGTTTTCGGAGGTTGTTTGTGGCATTTCATAGATGTTTGTATGGCTTTCAATATTTGTCGTCTGTTGTTGTTTGTTGATGGTACATTTTTGAAGGGGCGTTACAGGGGCTATGCTTGCAGCAACATCAAAGGATGGTAATTAAGGTATGTATTTATTTGCAGTTAGTATTGGTTAGTTTGTCAGTGTGTTATTGTATTGTGAGTTGCTAATTTTTTGCAGTTTCATGTGATTTTGTTTGCAGGTTTGTTTCCTTTGGCTTTTGCCATTGTTGACGCTGAAAATCAAGATAATTGGATGTGGTTCTTACGTCAGTTGTTGAAGGCTATTGGTTCAGGCCGGAGATTGACTTTTGTGTCTGTCACGACCCAAACCCGGCCCTATGGGTTTAGCACCGTAACCGGCAGTAATCCGAGATTACGAAGGCTGCAGAACAGTAGTACAGTAAAACAGAGTACAGGGCCTGGCGGAAGCCAATACAGTAAATAAAATAATGTCCATTGAGCTGTGACAGTCTGTATGCCAAAAAGATTTTTCATACATTCATACATAAACGTACAGAACAGTATGCACGACATTTACAATCATCAGACTAGGGACTTAATCCCTGCATAACAGTACGATAAACAATCAGTCTATACAGAACAGTAAGACAGTACAGAAGGGGGAACTCTAAAACACCCCTAAGCCTTAACAGTTAGGCTCGGAACTCGCAGTGAGGCACAAGGCTGGCTTGACAAAACTGGAGTAACCCCGACGCTCCTAGCCGCGGTCCGTGCCTTAAACACCTACATATATATATGAGCAGTGAGCTAACGCCCAGTGAATAACTAAAGCGTAAAGGGGTTTGGAATGAATGTCCTTAGTAATGAAAACAGTTCATTTCAATCAGTATTTCAGTTGCTCAGTACAGTAAACAGTCATATGTGTACACCCATTAGCATATCAGTAAACAGTAGGTCTTAAAAAGCCGAAACAGTAATGATGGCCATCAGTCAGTGAACAGTAGTGGCTCCACGAGGGAACCGACAGAGATCTCTGTAACAGTAACAGTAAACAGTAAGTGCTAAGGATGCCACAGTACAGTTCAGAAATAAAGGACATGCATTCATTCAGTAATACCAGTTCAGTAAACAGTTCAGTTCGGTATTCAAAAGATTAATCAGTGAACATATCTTTACACAATTGTTACTCACAGAGTTCGGGCTACGGTGTGCTAGAGCGTGTCTCCCCAGTCGCCAACCCTACACAGTTAACAGATTGAACACACTCTAAGCTACACAGTTGGATGAAAATGAAGCTTAATTCCTAATTTGCCTTGGTGTGTTCTACATCTATATCCTCAACAAGATGTCTTAAACTAGGTCTAAGAATGCCTAGAATGAGATGAGGATGCAAAGATGCACTTTTAAAAGCAGTTTTAGATTTTTCAGAAAACAGAGTCCCGCTCGAGCGTAGGTAACTCTGCTCGAGCAGACATGCAGACAAAGGCACCTGCTCGAGCGTAGAATTACCCGCTCGAGCGTTCTGCAAAGCAGTCAAAAGTGTTGGATGGGTGAAATCTCCGCTCGACGGACGCTCGACGCCCGCTCGAGCTTCAAACGCATGCCTCCGCTCGAGCTCCCAATCCTCCGCTCGAGCGGACTGTAAAACAGTGCAAGATGTTGGATGCTCGGATTCCACGCTCGAGCGTCACTTTAATTACCCGCTCGAGCGGGAGTGCAAAATCTGGAAATTCCAGATTGCACTTCCAAGCTCAAACTCAAGTTCAAAAGCATCAAAACCGATCCTCTTGGGCTAATTTCTGGAACAACACTTGTAAACACATAGAATAACATGGTTCAAAGCTCGATTTGAGAAACCAAAGCCCAAGGGTGTTTAATTCAAACCCAATTTCAAACCAATATCGAGAATACGATGAACATGCAAACATGCATGAATTCAAATCATTTCAAAGCTTCAAAACATGCTCTAGTGAGCCAATTTATCCAAAAACAAGTTGAAAACATGGACCATTACAAAGTTATGGACATGCATGCACCCTTTTACCATGAAACCAACTCTCAACTTAACAATTCAAACATGCAAGCATGAATTATGCTCTATATCAACATGCATGAACTAAAACATGACTTAGCTCTACAATTTAACATGGACCATGCAAGAATTAGTTCAAACACAAGAATGAGAAGATGAAATCCTTACCTAGGTTCCTTGAATGCAAGTCTAGAGGTTCAATTATGCACTTAAGCTTTCAATTCCTCAAATTCCAAGCAATTCTAAAGATGAATCAAGTTGAATCACTCTTTTCCTCTTACTCTCTCTCTCTAGTCGGCAATGACAAGGGAATGGCTGATGAAGATGTTTGTTTCAATGAGTGCAAGGCTCTAGTATGATATACTAAGGGGCCCACTAGCAATGGCAAGATGGTAGATAAATCAAACTATGCAATTGATCAATATTTAATCTAATTTAATCATACCTAATCAGTTTTCAGATAATTATACCATTAAATCACATTAATTCTAAGGACCACGAAACATAAATCAATTCCCAGTTCGGCCGCCGATAGGGCTTTCAATTAGCAGTTTAAACATAAAATATGAACAGATAGTCAAGCAGTCAAACAGATAGAATACAAATTAACACACATACTCAGTCAATTCGATTCCAGTTTTTTTTTCAGTCAGTCAGTTCAGTACTTTAATTAGTTCAGTTATCAGTCATAATCAGTTCGGTTTAACAGTAATCAATCAGTCATTAATCGGTAAGCAATATGAGGGTTATTACAATCTCCCCTCCTTAAAAAGAGTTTAGTCCTCTAAACTCGAGTTACCTTCATTCTGGAAGAAAACAGGGTTCAGTGGAAACAGTTCAGGATATCTTTTAGCCATGTCATCTTCCCTTTCCCAAGTGGCATACACACCACCATGGTTCTGCCAGTCGACTTTCACCAGTGGGATCTCTTTATTTCTCAACTTCCTGATCCGTCTGTTTACAATTTGTATGGGCCGTTCCTCGTAAGTGTAGTCATCACTCAACACTACCCGAGTAGGCTCAATTACATGAAAGGGATCCCGGAGGTAGTCTCTTAATATAGAAATGTGGAAGACGTTATGCATATGCTCCATTTCAGGAAGGAGCGCAACTTGATACGCCATCGGATTGATTTTCTCAATAATCTCATATGGTCCGATGT